GAATAATTATGAATGGCAGCCTAGTCAAATTGGTGTATCAAAAGACCATCATAGAGAGTCACATCAGAATTTACTGAGAATTGGAAATTTGATTTCGCCTGGTCTTTCAAAGCATGTATGGATCATGGTATCCCCGTCCAAGGTTGGTATTAACAGCCGAGAATTTCCAGTTGAAGGATTCAAAGAATCTTTGGATGAAAAGTTGATACTTTGCACTGAAGAGTTTATGAGACCTTTAGGAAGTTCTTATAAGGAAATTCCTGCACTCCTTTCTAGTGAAGGAAGATATACTGCTTTTGTTCCCAAAGCATGAGCCTTGTGCTTCTCTTCTTTACTTACGGCGTAGAAGCGTTAAGCACAAATATGGCTGCCACAGCATCCAGCTGGCTGCCTCAGAGAGAGGACACGCTCACAGACCGCAAGTCAGAGCCGGAATTTCATGCCGTGTATACCTGCCCCTCCCTCTTTAAGTGGTCAAAGGCTGGTACACTTCATGAATGTCATGTCTTTCCAGTCTTTATGCATCCTTGGCTCATAAGTGACCCCACAGGGCTGTTCTCTGATCTGTGAGGTTGTCTTGTCCTTTGTGCTGTGCTGGGAAACCCTTGCTTGTATTTTGAAAAGGGAAGCTTTTTGCCGAGTATCCTTTTCCTCTCTCCTTCTTCTCGCATGGACGTGCTGGTACCGGTAGAGGCCACCGTTGTTTCATGGTGCAGATACTACACCTGTCTTCCACTTTATTGAATTTCCAGAAGACAGGAGTTAAGTCTTATTTAATTTTGTATAGTGTCTCATCTTTGGCTAGGCACACAGTAGGTTCAGAATTTTATTCAACCCATATTTATGGAGTCCTGCGCATATGCCAGGTCACAGGTAGCTGCTGTTTTAGAAAGGGTGTTACAGTAGTAACACGGCATCGACTCTGGGGTGAGGGGTGACGTTCTGAGGGTGGAGGGACACTGCCGGTAGACTTGCGTGTGCATGCTCGCTCACTCTCACACACACGCGTGCCACACACAGCGCTTACTGAATGCTTGGAAGACTACATCAAGGAATGCCACTCCAAAATAGAGGTGGGGGCCCACGAATGATAACACAGTGAGTCCCAGCTTCCCAGCCTTTGAGGTAAAATGCACTGTGGGGCACGACTCCTCAGCCACGTTGGTCTGTTGATAGAAGACGTGTACGTTTGCGAATATTTGTTATTTCTGCTGGGCCCATGCTACTGAATTTAGGGTCTTAGGCTTAGGATAACTTAGATTATACTATTATTTTATTGATCAGATTATGTAGAGAGACGAGCTAAAAACAAAGATATGCAGCAGTGGAATTTTCCGGTGGTATTTTTGTGCCTAATAATAAAGAGCCAACTTTATTTTCTGGAGTGTTTGCTGCATGCCAGGCACTGTTCTGAGTACCGTAAGTGGATGATTTCGGTTAATCCTCAGCACAACCCTAGGAGACAGGTACTGTCCCCATGGTGCAGCTGAAGGAGCTAGCACAAAGGACAGCTGTGCCACTTGTACCAGATTCCCTGGGTAAGAAGTGAAATGCGGGTCACATCCAGAGTGTCCTGCCTGGAGATCCTGCTCTGAACTGAGGCTCCATGTGGCTTGGATGGAATTTATAGCATCAGGACAAGCACAAGCCCGTTCCTTTGCTGCCCAAGTTAGCATCTCTTGGTGACTGGAAGGCGGCATCAGCTGCGGGGAGAAGAGTGCGTTGTGGCTGATTCTCCTGGCTTTCCCTTTGGGTCTCATCCACTTTTCTGCTGGGACCTTAATGGTTTTCATGCGTATTTCACAGCTCTTCTGCATATCTGCTTTTATTCCAAAATGCCAAACACCGTTTTTAAGAATAAGTCTTTCCGAGGGAAAGAAAAGAGAGGAGGTGAGTGAACTCCCGTTTGAGGAGACGCAGGCAGAGGGATGCGAGCTGCTCTCCGTCTGACGGTCGCAGTCACTCTCGGTCTGGGCCGGTTCTAGGCCAGGCTCAGCATCTGTGGCACCTGTGGTTCTTCCTGTTCTCTAAGTAATGACTTGCTGTCCCCATTGAGGGAAGAGAAGACTCGCATCTGAGTGGTTAAGTAGCTTGCACGGAGCACACACAGCTGGTGCGAGGTGCGTGAGGAATTTGAACCCAGCTCTGGCCGTCAGTGGTTACAGCACTGCTTTGGTTTTCAACAAACACCCTCAAGACCCTTTCATCACAGAACTCGTGCATAGACTCCAGAAAGTCGGGAGTCAGTGTTGCAGGAGTCAGCGTGGGGCCAGCTGCTTGATTTTACTGCTGTCATACCCCACCCCATGTCCCGCGTTTGTGGCCTGAGGATCTGCAGGGCATCGTCAACACCACGCTTAACTTCCTCGCTCTCACGGACCTTGACAGTTGATGGGGATAAGGACCCTCTGAGGATAAAGGCAGGATCTTGTTCTTCCAGGGGGATCGCGTGCAGCTTCTGGGGTCAGATCTCCCTCTCCCTCCAGGATGGGTTTGCGTCTTCCCTTCCCCCTCCATGATGTTGGGCAAGTGATTTACCTTCTTAGCAACTTTGGTTTCTCATCTTGAAAATGGGCATGGACTTGGGGGCACTTAACTGGCTCATTCGGTACAGCGTGCGACTCTTGATCTCAGGCTTGTGAGTTTGAGTCCCACGTTGGGTATAGAGATTCCTTTAAAAAAAAATCTTTAAAAAACTGGGCATAGAATCATTACGATGGTTAAATAAGCATGACAACAGAACCCAACAATACATCAGCTCGGTGCCTTCCAATAAATGTTTTTTGCTATTACTAGGAATCCCTTACCCCCACCCCAAATTCCACGAGGAGATATTATCCTAAATCCTCCTGGCCACTTTGTATCAGCAGGGCCTCTTTTTCTCCTTGACTAGCTCTTCGGGAAGAATAAACTGGGCCCTTCTTTCCTCTGGGAAGGAAGTTCCGTTAGGTCTTCTAGCTGTCTGCTAGTTCTCACTTTGAGCCTTGTTCTCCATAAAAACTAATAAGGGGGATATTTTAGTTTTTTTCTAAAAAACGAACTCTCTCAGTTCGTTTAGAACCTGAGCACAAAAGAGGTATGCCTTGGATTCAGCTTCCTTAATATTCTGTCATGAGTGTTTGCTGTCTTCCTCTCCCATTCTCATAGAGTCCCAGGATTTTAGGGTTCAAAGATTTTTTAAATGACTGAAATTAATTTCACTATTCCTGCCTCCCTGGTGGTCATTCAACCCTTGCTGGAAACTTCCAGGAATGAGGAGCTTGCTTTCTTAAGAGGAAGTGCAGGGTATCTGGGTGGGGGTCAGGGATGCTCTAGATAGAGCCAGAATCACCCAAGAGGGGGTTGGAGCTGGCAGAGTGGGGTTTTCAGGCCATCCTGCACTCCGTATAAAATGTTCAGATTAGGTTTTCTTTGGGAGACAGTACGGGCCTGAAGGCTGCTCCCTTTCAGGTAGTTATTTTAGAAAATTCATTTTCCAGTAAGTGGTCAGAATTGGAGCAAGGAGAGTGCCACTGTTCTATGTGCTTTTGGCATCTTATCCTGAGAAATTTCCCACCACTTCAGTCCACCTGCTGAGGTAATTCTAGCTTGTGGCTTGTCATGAATGACGCAGGACACTGAGCCTCATGGCACTTTTATTAACTTCTGGCCTCTATGCTCTAGACCTGGGCATGTGCACATGTGACTCCCAGCAGGTCACCTCCTGAAAGCTGAGTGTGGTGTGTACTCTGGTGGCAGGAAATAAAACTACTGGGGAAATTCTCCTTCCAGTGCCAGAGATGCTAAGAGACAGCTTGAGACCACTCACCTCAAATATACCTGCTAAGTGGAGGAGGACTGATTTGGGATCCGCTTATTTATGCTGTTTGTTCTTAACATTGAGGCAACATGCAGGAGGCTCTCGGGCGCCTGGGTGACTCAGTCAGTGAAGCATCTGCCTTCGGCTCAGATCATGATCCTAGGGTCCTGGAATTGAGCCCCTGCATCAGGCTCCCTGCTCAGCAGGGAGCCTGCTTCTCCCTCTCCCTCTGTCACTCCTCCTACTGAAATAAATAAAATCTTAAAAATAACAACAACAACAACGCAACATGCAGTTAGAGCCAGCAAAGGTTAAGAAAGCAAACTCCTTAATAGAAACTTTACAAAAAATAGCTTTACTGAGATAGAAGTCACGTTCCCCCAAATCCACTGTTTAAAGTGTTCAATTCGGTGGTTTTTAATGTATTCATAGATTTGTGAAATCATCACCACAATCAACTTCAGAACATTTGCATCCCCTGGAAAAGAAACCCTGTAATCATTAACATTCATTCTCCCCACCCCTGCCCACCAGCCCCAGGAAACAGCTAATCTCCTCTCTGTCCCAGTGGATTTGCCTATTCTGGACATTTCATATAAATGGAATCATAACATACGTGGTCTTTGTGTCAGGATTCTTTTACTTAGTGTAATGTTTTCAAGGTCCATTCACGCTGTAACATGCATCAGTACTTCTTTTTATTGCCCAATAATACTCTGTTGAATGGCGAGACCACATTTTGTTTACCCATTCATCAGCTGATGGACATTTGAGTGGTTTACAACTTTTGGCTATTATGAATAATGTTTTTGTGAGCATTCATGTACAAGTTTTTGTGTAAATGTATGCCTTAACTCCAGCAGAATTGCTAGGTCATGTTTCCTAAATAACCTTTTAAACTTGCTTTTTTTGTGTTGTTCTTGGGCCCCATATGCCTATTCTTTGAATTCATACTCACTTCTGTGCTCAATGTTACCTATGACTTGATAGAAAGTTAATACATCTGAGACCCAGTTTAAAGTTCTTTGTTGAAATAATGAAAAAAAAACACTCAATAATTTTGAAAATAAAGTGATAATAAACTGAGTCGTAAGAATTCTTATTATATAGTGTTAACTACTAGATCATTTTTGCCTTTGCTCTCTTTTTACCAGGCATCTCAACTTTGAAGATTTACAAAGATTTTATTTTTCTTTTCCAGAATCGCAATGAAATAAAAAATGGCACTATCCTTCGGTTAACCACATCTCCAGTAAGTTGACCTGAGTGTATAGCTTTCCAGTAAATACTTTGCTCTCCAGTTCTGCTATATGTGATTAAAAGATGTTAACTTTTGAGGGTGATGTGAGTGCAAAACAGAAGATCTCTAGCATGTCCTGACATGTGGATTCTGGGTTGGCAGGAAGGTCCTTCCTTATATTTCCCATTACAGAGGAGGAAGCTTTTATTTCCGGTTAAGAGCAAGGAAACGGACTTCAAGGTTTGCGTTTGGTGGTCATTTCAGTAGCTCTTATATTACAGGTACAATAACTCCGCTGCCCTGATGGGTTTTACCCACCTGTTCAACATATCCACCTAATGCCCTCTAAGCAAATTCAGTCAACAAACAAAGGAAACAAACCCAAAGACAGCCCATTACCTCTCTTTAAAGTCGAGGTGTGTCTATGTGGAAAAGTGAGAGTGTTGAAGCATTTTCCAGTTCTGGCCAGTGATGACGATGATTGATAATAATGTAGTTTGCGAAATGCTTGCCACTTAATCTGTTCCAGTGCCAGCTGATCCGGATAAGACACTTTAAGAGCTGCTCACCAGAATGCTGTAGAATATTTAGGCCACTGTAGCTGGCTGTGTTGCTTATCTTCATCTTTCTTCCTTGCTTGTAGATACTTTGGATAGTAACATTAGCATATTTAAACTAGATTATTTCACAGTGCATTTTATTGCTTTCCTAAAAAATAATCTGCGCAAAATACACCAAGTGTTACTATTTTCACTCTGCATATGTGACAAAAACTGTGTCTAACTCTTATTTTCAGTTTCCACTGAAGCCATGTGGTAGGCTAAAAATAAATTTAAAAATTGGGAAAAGCATCTGGCTGAAGTTAAACTGTGGGTACTGTAACTACCACACATTCTTCTTGCTGAAAATTACGTTAGAGGGGCTTAGAAAATCCTAAACATTTTACCCAATAACATCTTGAACCTAAACACAGCGACAGGCTCCACAGAATACATGGCTGGAGTTGGCCAGACTGTCTTCTGATGCCTTCTTCTCCACTTACTGGAAGTCATCATTCATACTCATTTTTCAATGACCACATGATGAGCTGAGACATTTTTGTCTGACTTAGCATTGACCTTACTTTAGTCAGCATGAATTAATGCTAATTTGACATTTCTAGAGCATGGTTTCAGTTGGTTTTTGTCGTTGCTGTTTATCCTGTTACAGTTGCTCTTCTGTTGGCCGGCAGAAGGAGTACACCTTGCCTTTTGTTGGGTCTTAGAATTAGAGAGGCTTGGTTTTTACACCGAGATCTGCTCTAAGCCGAAGAAGATGTTCGTTCTTTTTTTTTATTGCTATGGGCTCATGAACAACATTTCCACAATGTGAGCCATTCCTTGGAAGAAGGTTAAGTGTTTGGCAGGGTGAGGTTTTTCAGCGCCCCAAAAGTCCGTCCTCTTCAGATTGTAACTGACACATTCTACACAGTATCATAAGATGGGGTCCACCTAGAGGATCCTGGTTTACGTGTTCTAAAGAGCAGGGGTCCCCAAGCCGAATCACTGGTGGAACTCTAAAAATGCTGCTGTTCTGGTCTCTGCAGAGAAACCAAATTACGATATCTAGAAGGAGGTCCAGGAATGTGCATTTTAAGCACGCATTTTATAATTTAGCTGTTAACCCTAGGGTCTAGAACTAGGTGTTATTCTATAAGCAAGATATTTTGGCTCTGTAAATGTCACTTGTTGTTAGTAGATTTTTTTTTATTATTTTATGTTTAACTGAGAAATATGGGTCAGCATATGCTAACTCTTTCACTTTTTATATACACACAAAAAATGTTAAAAAATAACATAACTGTCTCCATCAAATTTGCTAGGAAGTGTTAGTGTACCATAAAGAAATGAACAAATGGTGTTATACCATAAAAATGTTCAGTTCTTTCCTCTACCTTGGCTGAACTCTCCCTAGAGCCAGACAGAATGCACACACACCTACATGTGTATGCATGTGTGTGCACATACGTACACACACTCTTGCTTTAAGTGATGTGCATCTCTGCCAACTTCTGCCTCTGTGACCTTGGCTAAGTTGCATAACTTCTCTGGCCCTTCAGTTTCCTGTGTACAATGAAGATGGTGAGGACACCTACCTGATAGGATTACTGTGTAGATTAAATGAATTCCTTCTCGAGGGTATTTAGAACAGTGGCTCATAAAAAGCCCCAAGTAACTTTGCTGATTTTATTACTAGTATTAACAGCCCCAAACACTATTAGTCAGAATTAATACTGACAGCGAGATAATCTTTGAGTATTCCTTAATTATCATCATTTGTACAGTAAATGCTGACATCTTGCTTGGAGAAAAATGTATTTTTCAAGGAATTCAAAGTCATCCACTTGGTTTAAATACATGTTAATGCTGTATGTCCATTTGGAAATTGTAAGAACAATGTATCTTTGAGTGATTTTAAAAGATGAAGTGATTCTTGCTCAACTCTCCATTAACCCCCTTAAAAACATAGGATTTGGGGTTGGGGTGATTTGTCAGATATCTAGGGATCTGTGAGTGAGTAGAGAGTTCTTGTTCTCCTCCTTCCTTCTCCCCCTTCTTGTTTCTGATGCAGCGTGTCAGTTGATAGTTACGATGGGAGACTACCCTGTGTCTCTGACCAAGTTGGGGAGGGTGTGGGGTTCATTCCTGTCTTGGTCCCTGAAGATTTGGCCAGACCAGAACAGCAGCATTTTTAGAGTTCCACCAGTGATTCAGCTTGGGGACCCCTGCTCTTTAGAAGTCTAATTTTAGGCAAAGCAGCTAATTTGGTTAGTTTCTCTGCTGGGTCCCCTTCTCTCCTAGGGACTACTTCCAGATGAAGTGAAGGGGGACCTGGGCAGGGAGGGAGGGGTCCCTGGCCGTGGAGCCCAATGGGGTGGAGAACCTTTGCTGTCAGTACTTGGGTGGATTCCCTTCCTTCCGTCTGCAATCTTAACCCCGTTAGAGCTCACGGGGGGCTCCTTGGATCATTCTCAGGAGTTTCTGTTCAGAAGATACCTCACTGTTGGGGACAACTATCCCCTCTTCCTCTTCCTCTGAAATATAACATGTTTCAGAGAAGAAAGCAAGTAGCCAAGAGGGAGAATATGAAGATGGCAATGGCACATTGCAATTTTGAGTTAAATAATAAGTACAACAGATGTTGAGTTACTTCCATTAAGCAGAGAAATACAGGCAGAAAAATTTAATATTTTATTTTTCTTCCTATCTGCCCCAGCTGAAAAGTAGATATGAAAACCATTCCTGAAATCTAAACTGTAAGTTATTATCCAGAAGGTCAGCTCCTCCAATATATTTCCATCCCTCCCTGCCCTGGGTATAGTAGCCAAGGGCAGATGCCATAAAAAGAAGTCTAATTTTAGGCAAAGCAGCTAATTTGGTTTCCAAATTATTTTATTTTATGTTTATGCAGTAATTAGCCAATGCCTGTGAAACACATGGTGTTGAAAAGTGAAATTTATAAGCACCATTGTGTTGTGCTGGAAAATTTTCAGTAACTGGGAAAGATCACTTGGGCGTCTAATGAAGCTTTTGAACACGGTGTGTTGGCAGTTTTTAACGCAGAGTATTGACTGAACAGGTGAACGTGTTGCATAAATTTGTGTAATTGCTTAACTAAGCAAATAGCTTTTTGTCATTTGTAGATAATAATTTTACTTAAAAGGTAAATGTTTTCCCAATTTCCTCCTCCTCCCTGCCGCTCCAGTTCCATTTCTGGGGCTTTATTGTTTTTGTGCTCTTGCTTTTCCAAGAGATGGAAATATGGGCTCTGTCAGGAAAGTGTTGATTCCCGTCATGACGTTAACAGCCGTTGCCTGAAGGCAGAGTCATTATGGTTGGAAACCTGCCCTTGGTACAGAGTATGCATATGGTCTCGTGCTTTGGCCTCAGTGTCTTCGTTTTTCAACGAAACGGTAATTTTTTGTCAGTTGGGGTTTCCTCTGTGAACACTCTTCCCTTTGTTTTCGTCCTCAACGAGGCTCAAAACGCCCAACAGCTCCACGAACGAATTCAGTCGTCGAGTATGGACGCCAAGCTGGAGGCCTTGAAGGACTTAGCCAGCCTCTCCCGGGATGTCACGTTTGCCCAGGAGTTCATAAATCTCGATGGCATCTCTCTCCTCACACAGATGGTTGAAAGTGGCACGGAGTAAGCATCTTTTATTCAGACTTCGAGTCTGTTCTATTCTCTCCAGTATTCTGGGTATTAGTTACTTTCCTTGCACTTGCACTTTCTAGTTTTTTTTTTTTTTTTTAAGATTTATTTATTTATTTATTTGACAGGCAGAGATCACAAGTAGGCAGAGAGGCAGGCAGAGAGAGAGAGGAAGGGAAGCAGACTCCCCGCTGAGCAGAGAGCCAGACGCGGGGCTCGATCCCAGGACCCCGGGATCATGACCTGAGCTGAAGGCAGAGGCTTTAACCCACTGAGCCACCCAGGCGCCCCGCACTTTCTAGTTTTAAAGACCAGAAATTGACCGCTCCACTCCCCCAAATCCTTATGTTCCAGAGTCTTAGACCAGGTCAAAATAACATCCCTGAAGTGATTTTTTTTAAAAAAATTATCATTTGAGGGGCACCTGGGTGGCTCAGTCGTTTAAGCATCTGACTCCTGATCTTCACTCAGGTCTTGATCTCAGGGTTGTGGTTTCAAGCCCCATGCTGGGCTCTGTGGTGGGCATGGGGCTTCCTTAAAAAAATTATCATTTAAATGATGAAGTATATATCCTTAATTATTTAAAATTAAATACAGTAAGTATTTACTAAATACTGCATGCAAAGAGTGGAAGTTGGTAGAATTTAAGAAGATGTGAGGCTTGCCATTAAAAAATACATGGTGGCAGAATTCAAGTGACGTCTAATTCCTTCTGAGGGTGGGGAGTCCAGAGGTGGGACCAGTTACAGCTCACGGAAACCGACGGAGGGGGTGTCAGTGAGTGGGGCCTGAAGGAGTTTGAGTTCCATCATAGTCAGGAAAGGGATGGGCATTTCTCCTTGGGGAGCTCACATTCTCAGGGGAGGCTTTGATTCTGTGGTGTGATTGGGGAGTGTAAGGAGCCAGATGGGGCTGACTCTTGCATGTGTGGACAGATAGCTCCCCTGACCACCGGACACCAGGGTAGGGTTCTCAGGTATCTGCTCATTCCCAAGTGGTCAGGTGAGACTAACATTCACTATTAGAATATGTAAATTAGACCATGTGATGATGCCACAAAAGTTAATTAGATATTAATATGCTAAATCAGTGATGTGCAAAGTTGGTATAGATATTTATGAGGAAAGAGTTAAATGTCCCTGAGAATTGGGGTTTAAGCCCGGGCCGTTTACATGTCTCTTCAGTACCTGGTGATGCAAAGAATGAGTTGTTGACCGTGCGTGTTGCAGACCCATTTCAATCCTCTCCCTTCCTTCATTCTTTTGTTCCTTCGTTCTTTCCTTCCATCTCCTACAAGTGGCCTCTGCAGGTAGCACTTGTGACAGATTCTTTTTTTTTTTTTAATTGGCAAGCAGGCTTAGGTGATTTGGAGGGGGTTGATTGTAGACAGGTTTTGTTTATTTTTTTAATTTTTTAAAAAAGATTTTATTTATTTATTTGACAGAGAGAGAGATCACAAGTAGGCAGAGAGGCAGGCAGAGGGCTCCCATCTGAGCAGAGAGCCCGATGTGGGGCTCGATCCCAGGACCCTGAGATCATGACCTGAGCCAAAGGCAGAGGCTTAACCCACTGAGCCACCCAGGTGCCCCTGTTTATTTTTTTTTAATGAGGGCTGAAACTCAGCTCATTAAACGTTTGGCGAACGTCAATTTGGAGCAGAGCGGGAAAACTCAAATTCTGGGGTTTACAGGAATCTTGGGGTGCCTGCTATAAATTGGAGCTGGAGTTTGAAACGGCTCAGGGGAATTTGAGTAAGTTTTTGGATCTAAGGGACTTGACTAAGGAAAAGGAGAAAACGTTTCATCTGTATTGGATGCCCCAGGCTGAGGTGTGGTGCAGAATGGTTCGGATCCCTCATTCTTTGGTAAGAGTGAGCAAGGGAGTGGGAGCTGTGATTATAATCACCTTCTCCGGTCACTGTAGACGACTTCATGTGGGTGCCACATATGGAAGGTCCTGCAGAATCACTGATTGGGGTGGGACAGTGAGCCCTTAAGGGGGGGTGTACCCTCAGTCACATTTATAGTGTGTTAAATGAGTATATAAAAATGCCCCCACATTTATTATCTGAGTCACTGATGTATCGCAGGCAGGGTGCTAGAGCCAGTCGTAGTGTAACCTGCTAACACCAGGTGTTTTTATCACGGATACCTAAGTATCCAGGGGCTTAAGCTCTTGAGCATTCAGAATGATAGTGTTAATGCTTCTAAATTTAGCAGAATTGCAATCATAATTGCAATTATAGTGTGAAATATACTGAAAGCAGAGGTCCATGTGATTTATACCCTGAATAGAAGGCTGGGGCCGAGCTCTGGGACTGCCAAGGCTGGCATTTATATATTTTGGAAACGAGGAAAAATGCACATTAGGAGCTCTGGGGTTTTTTCTGTTGTTGTTTTTTGTTTTTTTAAATTTCCATTATATTTGTTTGCTAGGCAGCCATAACAAAACACCACAGGCTGTAGCTTACACAATAGAGATGTATTGTCTCATAGTTGTGGGGGCTGGAAGTCCACGATCAAGGTGTTGGCAGCATTGGTTTCTCCTGTGGTCTCCTCGGTTTGCTGGTGGCTGCCTTCTGGCTCTGCCCTCATGTGGCCTTTCCTCTGCGTCACTCATTCCTGAGTGAACCTCTCTGAAGGTCCACATTTCCTTTTCTTATAAAGACACCAGTCAGATTGGATTAGGACACACCGTCACGGCCTTATTTTAACTTCATCCCCTCTTTAAAGGCTCCGTCTCTAACTGCTGTCCCATTCTGAGGGACTGGGAGACAGGGGCTCAAGATATGAATTCTAAGGGACCGCAGTTTAGACTCTAACACCCCTCACAGGGACACTGTCCTTTCTGCTTGAGAAGAAAAAGAGTGAACACTGATGCTCTGTATTTGTCTTGTCAACATTATTGCTTAGTATCCGTGTCATTGCCTTGCCCTTTAATTCATCTCGACCTGTAGAGGGGCCCCCAAAGAGCCATTCCTCCTCGGACTGAGGACTGGGGAGGCACGTCTGAATTCTGTCTCCGTGTTGCACACAGATAACCAGAGAGGATGTTGACACAGCATGTGCTTTATGAGAACCGTTGTCATTGAATTCCTTTTTTTTTTTTGAAAAGCGTTATTATAGTTATTAGTATTTTAACAATTTGTGATCTGCAAGCCGTGTTAATTTGTTCCATGCAGCTGGGTTTCAGAGAGACAAACGACCCGAGGCCAGATTTTGGGCGAGTTCTGGTTTGTATTTCTCTCTCACGCGTTCCCGTTGCCCTCTGTTTCTGAGAGGAATGGTGTCTCTCTGACTCGCGTTTGGTGTCCTCCTCACCGACTCGTGTCACTTCAAAGTGAGGCTCCTTTCGGGGCTGGAGGAAGGAGGTGCTGGAGCCACGCGGCCTTCTGCCTCATTCTGCTGGATCCCACAGCTCATTTTAAGAAGCTGCTTATTCGATGCTCGGCCATTATTCCAGCTCTTTGGCTCAGATTAAAAAGATGAGAAAAAGACATTTTTTTCCTATAAGGAAGCCTGGCTTCTCAATTAAGCTTATAGCAAGACTTTAATTAATTAATAGGCAACTTTGGGAACAGAAACTGTACAAATTAAATAGATCCTGCAATTTGGAATATATTTCGCTGTGACTCCTGGGCACATTTCCAGCAGGGGAAGGCAGAGGTTGCCTGAGTAGGACCTGTGGAAATTTTTAAGAAACACTGAAGAAATGTAGCTGGAATTTTCCCCCTTACTTGGAACCATAATGACATTCAAAGATTACTCACCTGCTTGTCATTACTCAAGGCTGAGTTTTTAAAGGTCTCTCTCTCCAGTTGGTCCCAGAAGGGGCCATGGGGCAAAATGAGCAACAGAGGAGCAAGGGGAGTGTCACTTTGGCAGGGCATAGTGTCTAAAACCTGAACTGAATTTTTCCATCCTTGTGGAATTTAGAAATTCCCTTCCTAGTCTAAGCTTGAAACATATGTGTGGAAGCAAGTGAAGCTGTGGGGAAACGTGTTGGCTCAGCCTGAGTGAGGCAGTGGTGTCAGGTAAGGAAAGTCAAGGAATGGACAGTGTTTTTTTTAAAAGCAGGTACTTAGACACTTCTCTCAAGGGGTTAATATCCAAAACCTCTAAAGAGCTCATATAACTCAATAACAAAAAATAGCCCGGTTAAAAAATGGGCAGAGGGGAGTGCCTGGGTGGCTCAGTGGGTTAAGCCTCTGCCTTTGGCTCAGGTCATGGTCTCAGGGTCCTGGGATCCAGCCCCACATTGGGCTCTCTAATCATCAGGGAGCCTGCTTCCTCCTCTCTCTCTCTCTTTCTGCCTGTGTCTCTGCCTACTTGTGATCTCTGTCAAATAAATAAATAAAATATTTAAAAAAATAAAAAAAATAAAATCTATTAAAAAAAATGGGCAGAGTATCTGGATAGTCATTTGTCCAGAGAATACATACAGATGGCCAACAGGTACTTGAAAGAGGCTCCACAGCACTCATCATCAGGGGCAAGCAAACCCAAACCACAGTGAGAATTTAGCTTACACCTGTCAGAATCACTGCTGTTGAAACAAGAAATAACAAGGGTTGGAGAGCATGTGGAGAAAAGTGAACCCTTGTACATGGTTGGTGGGACCGTGAATTGGTACAGCCCCTCTGGAAAACAGTGTGGATGTTCCTCAAAACATTACAATTAAAACTACCATTTGATCCAGCAATTGGACAACTAGATATCTATCTGAAGACAATGAAAACATTAATTTGAAAAGGTACACACATCCCCGTGCTTATTGCAGCATTACTTAAAATAGCCAAGATACGGAAACAACTGAGATGTCCACTGATCACTGATGGATGAATGGATAAAGATGTGTGTGTGTGTGTGTGTGTGTGTGTGTGTGTGTGTGTATAGGCATACATATATATAGGTATGGTGGAGTAGTACTCAGCCATTTGTGACAACATGGATGGACCTAGAGGGTATTAAACTAAGTAATACAAGTCAGTCAAA